CCACGTCCTGCGGACACAAATGCAGCTCCTTATTGAGGGCCCCTTAACCTTGCTACATTTTTGTTTTTGCAAATTAGAACAATTAAAATGTGTTAAACATTTGGTTGCGAGAGTTATGGATCTAAACGGCTGGATGAACGAAAACGGCTAGCTGAATAAATCAGCGAGATTTGTGGATCTAAAGAGTGAGTTTTGTGGATCTAAACAACGATTTTCATCCTATATCAAGACCTATAGCAGCGAGGGCTAAAAGATAGATTTACAACAAATCTCTTCTCTTCTTCTCCTCTTTTCGAAAATATCATCCCGCTGTTATATTTTTGCTGGTTCTCTGAAAGTCTTGAAGTTTCGTAAAGCCTTCTTGAAGCTCGTGCCGACGAGAGGGATGTAGCCTGACCGAGGGTCGTCGTATCTCCGAGATCTATTGTCGCGTAGCCCTGTACGAGAGTAGGCAATTAGATTCTTGGGACAATGCCTTGCACGCTTCGATCATCATGCTATATTCTTAAACCCTATTTAAATTTTTGATTCAATTTCTTTTCTGAGTTATATTCTTAATCTGTTATTTTTTGATTTTAATTAACTGTTAAAACTATTCTTAATCTGCATTTCATGATAATTACAGTCTAAACAGCAAATTATTCCTAACAATCCAAGAATCTAATTGAGCTGTTTAGAATAATATCATGATTAGTATTCTGTTTCTTACGTTAATGCTATCTACATTTTATAAAAACAACATGTTACACTGCCTGATGATTCTATTGATTGAATGATTAAATTATGTTTGTTGCATTATAATAACAAAACCATTCATTGATCATCAGATTATGGCTACAAGTGAAATCCTGTCAGCTAAGCCAGAGAAGTTCGAAGGGAATAATTTCCGTCGTTGGCAAAACCAAATGAGATTTTGGCTAACGACTCTGAATCTGATAACTGCCATTGAACCTGATAACTCATCTTCCTATAGACCTGTCACTAGGAAAAACTCCACTGCAGATTCCATTCCTATCCCGAGAACACCTCAAGAGATAGAATATCACTACCTATACAGAATCTTAGGAGCCTTATCTGATAGATTATATGACATCTACTACTCTATCACTAATGCTAAAGTTCTATGAGAAACACTAGAGAAGAAGTATAGTTTAGATGATATAGGAATTAAAAGATTTAAAGCCTCTGATTTTAACAAATTTAAATGGTAGATTCCTAACCAGAATGAGCAAATTCATGATTTCGAACACATAGTTCATCAACTAAAAATGAATGGATCTATCTTGGTTGAAACATTTCAGATAGCTTGTCTTATAGATAAACTTTCTGAAACCTGATCAGATTTTGCCAAAAACCTTAGCCATACCCAAGGAGATCTTACCCTTGATCAAGTGTTGAATACCATTAGAATCGAAGAGCAACATAGACTTAGGGAGAAAAATATAATAGAATCCGAACCCAAAGTTAACAATGTAGAATCCAAACCCATTCCCAAATACAAGAAGCATGCAAGTTTATTAGGTCACTATATGGTCTCAAACAAGCTAAAAAACAATGGCACATGAAATTTGATGAGATTATACTATCTTATGGATTTGTAATTAATCAAACAGATGAGTGTGTATATCATAAAATAGATAATAACAACAAAATTGTAATTTTATGCTTATATGTTGATGATATTCTTATTTTTGATTCTGATATACAAACCATAAATGATATCAAACACTTTTTATCACAAAATTTTGACATGAATGATTTAAGTCAAGCTATACCTAATTCTTAACACTAAAATCTTGAAGAATAAGAATCGATATGTGCTATCACAATCACACTACATAGAGAAAATCCTTAAAAACTTTTATGACCCAAACTGTCAACCTGTTTCTACACGATATGATCCTAATGTACATCTAAAGAAAAATATAGGTTATCCTCAATTACAAAGAGAATATGCACAAATAATTGGATCATTAGGATTCCTGATAAACTACACCAGCCCTGACATTGCCTATGCAGTAAATAGACTTAGTAGATATACATCAAATCCCGATAAGAGTCATTGGAATGCTCTAGAAAGAATTTGAGATACCTAAAAGGAACTATGAATTATGGTTTACATTATAAAGGTTATCCATCTGTATTAGAAGGTTACTGTCACGCCCCGCTTCCCAAAATACCAGGAATCGGAACGTGAACAAGCCTGCGACGTATTAGATTAAGGAGAATAAATAAAAATAAATGTTTCTCCTCAACCTAATACGCTAAGCGTCAAGAAATAAATGCAAAGGCACAGGTCCCCGATCACAGTAGCGAGAATATAATGAACAACACAAAATAAAATAATACATATCACAAATGAATATCATCCAAGATATAATATTCGGGTCAACTTGCTCTTATACAAAACTGAACAAATGAATACTGGAGAATATAAAATACAATGATCAAACGGAAGGAAATATTACAAAAGTAAGCTAAGACCATCGAACAACTAGAGGGAATAACTAAGCTTCAACTTCTTCTGCTTGGTTGCAAGCACTCTTGCGGAGAATCCTTCGGTTCTAGCATATCTCCAAGCTGAACTTGTTCTTCCTCTAAATCTGACATACACCACCGAAAACAGGTATACGTCAGCGTGCATGGCACACGGTAAGACCCCACAAAACAAATAGAACGAACGAAAACCCAAGCAGAAAACAATACGATAACAGAAATAACAAAAGAACGTACAACTGAAAATCCAACAAAATCAACATGCAAATTCACTACTAAAACCTGATAAACATAAAGCTAACCACATACGGTAACCGGGTCGGATACTAACCATCCTAAAACTCATTGGTCCACATCTCACATAGAGTCAACGCTCATATCAACGGATAACTGACTGTTTACAAATCTCCTACATGCATCCAATCTCGCTACACATGCGGCCAGAGGACTACACATAAACTGTTTTCTGCCTGGTCCAAACTCAAGCAAAACTCGGGTGACGAATCAAATTCCTACTGACTAAAGTGATGTACACACTTTACTTTAGCCCTACAAACCAACCCCAGTGACGATACCAACCACTGGTGCGAGCCTGGAAGATACATCAATAGTCATATCCGAACACATGAACAATGACTTCTCCATCCCCACTCTTCTCGTTTTTCTAAGCCAACCATAATCCTCATTGAAACTCGGGTTCACCACCTAAACTCAGTCAACACACTCACACATGTCAGTGATGTCACTAAGTCTGTTCATGACGCATGAGGACACTAAGTCATGAACTACTAAGGGTTCTCAAACGCAACATGGACAATACATAGCAAGCATGTCAAATACATTAAATAAATACAAAACGTGAAATGTGATCATAAACAGTAAAAACATACATGCAGTTCGGTTTTATTAATATCTTGTTATCCATCACTCTAAACTTTTCATACAAAATCATAAATTACTTAAAATCCAAAATAGATAATTCTTTTTGCAAATAAATTCCTTTAAATCATCATAATTATCAAAAATGATTCTTTTTCCAAAATAATTCTTTTTAAATTATTATAATTTTTCTAAATGATCCGTTCTCAAATAAATTCTTTTTAATTAATATAAGAGGAAAATGCTTCCAGCCCCCAAAAGCTACGAAAACGTGCTGCCCCCCCTCCCCCAAAGACTTTGTCAACGGGTGTTTTACCCCCCAAAATAAAGATTTTGTTCTCTGAGCCCCCAAAATACAAAACCCAAGAGATTAAAATATGTGAAGACCATAATACCCTTCTCTCTCTCTCTCTCTCTCAATCTCTCTCTTTATCATGATGTACTGAGATGAT